TACCACTCTCTGTTGATCCTGAATGGCTAGTTCATCTTTAGCTAGTTCCCTACCTTAACCAATCCTCTTTCAAACCACATGCACTCTTGTTTTCTACTGTCTTATAAGCAGATAAGTGCAAAAACGTTGGAGAGAAAGAGGAACGACGCAGTTTTAAGTCACCAAGGACAGAGACCTGCGATTTGCCAGAAAAGTTCCCGGAAGGATTCAACACAAGAGGAAGCTCAGTTTGCCTTAGAAGAATCTCAAATTTTGGTACAATCTCTTCCTCTAGTCTCTCTCTCTTTAAAAGGCATTTCCTTTCCAAACCAAAAAAAAAAAATCCGAAAATAAGAAAAGAAAGGAAATAAAAGCCTTAGAGAGTCTAGAGAGGTCGAATTTTAAGTCCCAAGGCAACTGGAGTTCAAATTTTATGGAGTTTTGGAGATCATCTTCTGATTCCCGGAAAGAATCTAAGTCTGGGGGAATAGCTGTTTACAACAAAGGAGGAAAGAATATGCAACAACATTTGGCAAGAAGAAATGACTGAAAATTGCGGTCATCAACAGGTTCTTATCTCTCCTGCCGTTTTGCATATTATCTTGCATCCTCCAGATTCATCAGGTAACCCAAAACACTTTAACTCCACCACTTAAACAGCCCTTTAATGACAAACGCCGTCTACCCTGGATGATGTCTTTAATGAGAACTCACTATTGAACTTAATGAATGTAGAGAGCTAGTTGACTGGAATCAAGATTTAGATTGTTTAAGTTTTGCATGACGGAAAAAATGGACTAGTATCTTTTGTGTATTGGTGAGAATTTTCTAGACTAAGTTGTGGATTGATGCACGATCTTTGGTCCTAGTTTAGGAGTTCATGTCTCTGAGATTTGTGCGTTTCCTATTTTTGTTTTCACTTAACCAGTTTAGGCTGTTGATTTGTTTGAGGACAAACAAATGTTTAACTCTGGAGGAATTGATAACACCGTATTTTGACCACTTTTATGGATCGTTTTGAAATACTTTTTCTATGTTTTTAATTGGTTTTAAATACTTTTATTACGTTTTTCTAGTATTTGTAGTTCCAAGACTCTTTTCAGGTAACTTAGGGAAAAGCTTAACAAAATGGATAGAAAACCAGATTTCAGCTCAGAGTCAAACCATCAGAAGTTCACCCCCGATTGAAGGCCTTCTCACCGTCTGATCCAGCCCAAATTTGGAGATCTTAAAGATGGAAGTATCAGCTTTCCAACACACTTTGCAGCTTGGCAATCCAACGGTTCAATCAAAAGATACGCGAAGAGCAAGATGTCCCGTAAACCAGCCGGCAAACGTTTCCACCCGCGGTCACAACCATCCCGACCGCGGCCAGCCACCCATTCCCCGCGGTCACAACCATCCCGACCGCAGCCAGCTAATTCCGAACCCGAAGGCCCATTTCTGAAGCCCAAAATGATTCCCTCATTTGGAGAAACCCTAAGTGACGCCCAGAGATGTCTTGAGCACTATAAATACATGTCTTAGGAACCTTAATTCGAATAATCACCTTTTACACCAGCTTGTTTTCTTATTGTTTTTACTTTAGCTTTTAGGGAGAGAGAGAGAGATCTATCTCTTGAACCCTTGTTCTTTCTTTTTCAATTTCGGTTTCTATTCTACTTTTAATACTATGTTTTTGATTTTGTTTATTATGTCTGAGTAGTTTTATTGTTGGGATTAAGGAATTTTCGATGGGGATTTATATGTTCAGTGAGGATTTCATAAGCTTTTGAGCCGAATCTTAGAACTTTTTCTTCTGAATTCGTTTTTACTGCATGAGAGTAGCGTCATGAACTACAATCTGATCCAGATGCTTGGTGACACGATAGTGTTCATCCGGTGTCAGATCTAGTTTAGGAGAGCAAAACAAACATAGGAGTGGAAACCTACCTATGGGCGATTTGTGAATGCTGACGAGTCTTAAACATAATGCATCTCTTCTTTTCCAGGGCCAGAGTGGAAACCTACTGGTCAGGGTTGAGAGAGATAGTTGTCTATGATCACGACAGTGGCGTATTCATACGTCCGTGACTCCAGTTCGAAAAGTTTAAGCTAAGATCTTATCAAATTTACTTTCTAGCAATGTTTTAAATCGTTCATACCCCTGAGAAAACTTCCCAGAACCCCAGCGCCTCTTTTCTTAAACATTTACACCGATTTTCATTCAAGCTTTAGTCTAGTTTATTTACTCTTTCAATCGATTTTCATTCAAGCAATTAGGTTAGCCGTTTTTCCCGTTTTTACCCGTTTTCGTTAAGTTTAGCTATTAGGTCATTTTAATTCCCGTAATTTCTCTTTAAAATTCGTTTTTACGTTTTAAACACACCACCAAAACCCTCACAAAACTCGCCTGGTTCTAGACTTCCTTACTTTATATTTTTTTCGAAGGCTTTTGAAGGAAAGATCCTCCTTCCCTGTGGATTCGATCCCTAAGTACTACAATCGATCAGCTGTGCACTTGCGGCTATTGATTTCATTTAGGGTAAAACTTGACAACCCTCAACACGACACTCCGCATCACAGCCCACACTGATGTCAGCTGTTTCAGGGATAGTAAAGATACGTTTCAGAGACACGTGTGCAGAGGCTAACGAGTTTTTCCAGAGGAGGCATATCAATAAATCAAGACATGGAGAAGACAACCTCGTCAAAGAGGCTAGCCGAGCTATACTCTCTGTCAACACAGATGTTGAGCCAATGGATGTGAAAGGAGACATAAGCAAATCAGTGTTGTTTGACGCAAGCGTGCTTGCAAAGGAGCTTGAGAAAGGAGGAGATAACATGTGGGAGGTAGTGAGCAAAGTGTGAGTTGAGCTGCTTTGCTTTGCTGCAACTCATTGTGACTCCAAAGAACATGCGTCTCAGCTCAGCAAAGGCGGTGAGCTCATTAACTTTGTTTGGCTATTAATGGCTCATTTTGGACTCGGAGACCAATTCCAAATCAACAGGGATGATGCAAGAGCTAAACTGATCGTCGCCAAGTGATTTTTCTATGAAAAGCTACACAAATTCAACAATAAATCAGTTTCCTTCATCTACTTTTTCTTCATGTGTTTGAATTTCTTTACTTTCCTTGAATAATCTGCACTTGTAGTGTAGTACACTTCTTTGATGAATGATGAGTCGTCTTCTTTGTTATCAATAACATTCACAATTTAGAATCTTCTCAGTAATCACACAAATTTCTCAGACCCTAAAACCCCTAAATATCGATTAGATTCTTCGCCACGTAAAATAGGAAGTACACAATTCTTCAAAAACCCTAAAGCCCCAAATCTCGGTTAGATTCTTCACCGCATGAACTACTTTCAAAAAAACCTCAGCGAACTACATGCAATGGCATCGAAGATTCGTGTGATTACCAAAAAACCTCAGCGAACTACAATGGCATCGAAGATTCGTGAGATTACCATTGATGATGTATTTGGTCTCTTCCTCGTTCCTTCTCCATTTGCGATTTTGGCGCTTGATTCGAATCCTATCGGTTTTCGGATAGAAAGACAAAGGGAAACCAAATCATCGATGTTAGCTTGGGCTGAACGACTATGATGGGCCTTAAATTAACCAACCTTTAATGGGCTAACTCCTTTTTACGGAGTTTAGCTCCTAGTAAAACTTTTTTTTTACTTAAGATACAGTAAACTTATTTTATATATGCTCATCGGATGCATAGTAACTTTTACATTTTTTTTATTTATGTATATCTAAACTATTGATTTTTTTTTGGTCGAACTATTGACTTGTTTTTATATTTTTGTTTAAGCAAAAAAGGTATTAAGATCGAACTAAATTTAAATTTTTCTTTTTTAATTAAGATATATAGGTCTACAAATATAGCAAAGCTAACCATTAATATAGTAATAATAAGACAAAAAGAGTAACAACAATGCAAATGAAAAGGAGGTTTTCTAAAGTGGCCACTGTAGTTTAACCAAATACACCGGACATACACTCACAAAATCTCTTGCTTAAACAATATTTTCTTGACTTCACTGCATGGGTAACACAATGAATTGAAAAAACAACTTAAACTTTACACATGCAGTGAAAACCCTTAAAAAAATTGAATTATTGAAACAACATCAAGCCAAAAGGAGAAAATTCCTGCACTATTTCTAAATAACGTGTGTGCAAGACTAAAGTGTGATTTTCTTGATTTTATTATCAACAAGGAAAGAATATTTTATTCTGAACGGAAAAAAAGCCCTTGATTAAAGAGTTACCGTGGAATATAAGAAAGGAATTCAAAAACTAATAACAGTGAAGAAACTAATTCACGTGTTGTTAAATAGCTTCATCTATAAATTTCCTGTCATTATGGATCTAATGTCTTAATGTGGAGATCCCTAAGAAAAGGGCACTCTTTATTGTAAAACATTGTAAGTATTAATTTGTGCATGTTTGACTTGTAAGTATTTTCCTTTTATATAATTGAGAATTCTGGGCACAAGTTTAGACTAATTGAAGTCTATTGATCAATTTAAGTTATTCACGGTCATCAACCTATAAATTGACATATTAATTTCTTTTACTCATTTTATGTTTATGTTTTCAACAATTTTTTAATCTAAAAATGGATTATGTCAGATTTGAATGAGGATGACGAGACTACGATAACACTAATACAAACTTGTAAACTATATTCAGCGTTTACTTATGGACATTCGTAGTAAATAATTAAGATTTGATAAAGTGAGCAAATGACAAAGTTGTAATAAAGATAGTAATTAGATTTTAAAACTTTATTTTTGTTATGTTCAGAGGAAAAAACAAAGACAGGGAATAAAGAAAAGATAAAAAACAACAGAGAAAGATATTATATGATTATAGGCAAGGTATAAATCTGTAATGTAATAATACTACTTGCTGGTCTTTGTTTCCACTCTAAATACAAAGAAACAAAGAAGTAAAAACTTAAATTTTATCCACTAACCTTGACACTACTGTAAACATCCACAGTGTGAAGCAAAGTGCAGTTTCGTGGTCCAGCGAAGAAGAAGAAGAAGACAAGATGGGTGAGATGATTCCACCTCGTTTGAAGAAACTTTGGGACAAATGGAACATTCGTGGAGTCATAATACTCAGTCTCTTCCTCCAAACAATCCTCATCTTCTTCGCTCCAAGCCGAAAACGCACAGCACATAAGCTCCTCCTTGCGCTTATATGGTCAGCTTATCTTCTTGCTGATTGGGCAGCAGATTATGCTGTTGGACAGATCTCAGACAGTCAAGAAGAAGAAGCTGACAAACACTCCAAGAACCGTGAGCTATTAGCTTTTTGGTCACCATTCCTTCTCTTGCACCTTGGAGGTCCAGACACCATCACAGCACTTGCCCTGGAGGATAATGAGCTATGGAACAGACACTTGTTCAGCCTTGTCTGTCAAGCGATCGCTACTGTCTACGTGATCTTGTTGTCTACACCGAATAGGCTTTTGACTCCAACAGTGATCATGCTTGTGGGAGGAGTGATCAAGTATGTCGAGAGAACAGCTGCGTTGTTCTCAGCGAGTCTTGACAAGTTCAAGGATTCAATGCTGCAGAAACCTGACCCTGGAGCTAACTACGCGAAGCTAATGGAGGAATATGAAGCTAAGAGGGAGATGAATATGCCAACCGAGGTCATTGTTGTGGAGGATCCAGAGAAAGGACGGGAAGGTAATACTCCAGTTAGGCCCAACGATGTTTTGACTCCACTTCAAGAAGTTCAGTACGCATACAAGTACTTTGACATCTTCAAAGGTCTCGTTGTTGATCTTATCTTCACTAACAAACAACGTGACGAAAGCAGGAAGTTCTTTGACTCGTTAAACCCAGAGGAAGCTTTAAGCATCATCGAAGTCGAGCTCAGTCTCCTCTACGACAGCTTGTTCACCAAAGCAGAGATTCTGCATAACTGGACCGGAGTTGTGTTCCGGTTTATAGCCCTTGGGTGCCTTTTTGCGTCTCTCTGTCTCTTTAGAATGAAAAAGGAAGACACATACGATGGATTCGATGTTGCTCTTACTTACGCATTGCTCATATGTGGAATAGCTCTTGATTCAATTGCTCTTCTCATGTTCTGTGTATCTGACTGGAGCATCGCTAGATTGAGGAAGCTAAAGGAGGACCTGGAAGAGAGAGATACCAGGGCAGACAGAGTTTTCAACTGGGTCCTTGGTTTCAGGACGTTGAGGTGGAAACCATCCAAATGTTTCCAGAATGGACATCAAGTTCTCGACAGGTTCATTATGCTTCGCAGATGGTCTGAGTATATTCATGCTTACAACCTCATTGGATACTGCTTGAAGATACGTCCCAAGAGAATCCATCATACCAAGGGTATGGTACACATTTTCTTTCAGAGGATCATCCACATTTTGTTCATAGATACTGCCATCAAAAAGACCATCCAAGGAATCACGCTATGTTTCAGAGCCATGGAAGAAGGAACTCGCCAGCTTCGAAATCAAACTGACCGCTTTCTCGGTAATTTGTGCAAGGAGAATCGGTTGATCCGTAAAGTTATTAACCCTGTTAGATTGTTTCTCCTTTTCTGGTTTTCACTTCCTCATCTGCTTGCAAGTATGATCGACAAGTACGTCCTGGAATTTTTCGGTGCCAAAGATTTGATTGAAGAGATAAGATTCACAACCAGTGATCGCCTCACCAGAGAACTATGGGTGTTGATATTCAATCAAGTCCAATACAAACACCGATTTGCTGAAGATCAAGAAAGTGCCAAGAATATATCTTCAGCTAGAGGAGACTGGATTTTAGTTGAAACATCAAGCAAGAAAAAAGAAGACGGATCATCAGACCATGCAATACTTCTGCGATTCGTGACAGAAAAAGATTACGATCAGACCATTCTACTGTGGCACATAGCTACAGAACTCTTCTACCAAAGCCAAATAGACGAGAAAAAAATCACAGATAAGCAAGTACACACCAACAGAGAGTTCAGCAAAATCCTCTCAGACTACATGATGTACCTCCTTATAATGCAGCCAACACTGATGTCAGCTGTTTCTGGAATAGCAAAGATACGTTTCAGAGACACGTGTGCGGAGGCTAACGAGTTTTTCCAGAGGAGACATATCAGTAAATCAAGACATGGAGAAGACAACCTTGTCAAAGAAGCTAGCCGAGCTATCCTCTCTGTCAACACAGATGTTGAGCCAATGGATGTGAAAGGAGACAGAAGCAAATCAGTTTTGTTTGACGCGAGCGTGCTTGCAAAGGAGCTTGAGAAAGGAGGAGATAACATGTGGGAGGTAGTGAGCAAAGTGTGGGTTGAGCTGCTTTGCTTTGCTGCAACTCATTGTGACTCCAAAGAACATGCTTCTCAACTCAGCAAAGGCGGCGAACTCATCAACTTTGTTTGGCTTTTAATGGCTCATTTTGGACTCGGAGACCAATTCCAAATCAACAGGGATGATGCAAGAGCTAAACTGATCGTTGCCAAGTGATTTTTCCATGAAAAGCTACACAAATTCAACAATAAATTAGTTTCCTTCATCTGCTTTTTTCTTCATGTGTTTGAATTTCTTTACTTTCCTTGAATAATCTGCACTTGTAGTACTTCTTTGATGAGTGATGAATCATCTCCTTTGTTATCAATAACATTCACGATTTAGAATCTTCTCAGTAATCACACACAATTCTCAGACCCTAAAACCCCAAATCTCGATTAGATTCTTCGCAACATAAAACAGGAAGTACATAATTCTTCAAAAAACCCTAAAGCCCTAAATCTCGGTTAGATTCTTCACCGCATAAGTTACTTATTCAAAAAACCTCAGCGAACTAAAATGGCATCGAATTTTCGTGATAACGATTAACATTGATGATGTATCTGGACTCTACCTTGTTCCTCCTCCATTTGCGATTTTGGCGCTTGATTCGAGTCCTATCGGTTTTCGGATAGAAAGACAAAACGAAACCAAATCATCGATGTTAGTTTGGGCTGAACTACTATGATGGGCCTTAAATTAACTTTTAATGGGCTCACTCCTTTCTACGGGGGTTTAGCTCCGAGTAAAAACTTTTTTTTCAACATCAATAAAACTTATTTTTTATATATGCTCGGAATCCGATGCATACTAACTTTTACATTTATATGATTTATATACTATCTAAATACTAAGAGATTAATTTTAATTAAAACTATTGACTTGTTTATATATTTTAATTAGGCAAAAAGGTATTAACAACTAAACATAGCTTTACTTTTTAAGTTAAGATATATACGTAAACAAATATAGCAAAGCTAACCATTAAAATAATAATAAGACAAAAAGAGTAACAACAATGCAAATGAAAAGGAGGTTTTCTAAAGTGGTCACTGTAATATAACCAAATACACCGGACATTTACTCACAAAATCTATTGCGTAAACAATATTTTCTTGATTTCACTGCATGCGTAAAACTTAAGGAGAAAATTCCTGCATTAAAAAAAATTACGCATGCAGTGAAAACGCTTTAATAATAAAAAAAAAAACAACATCAAGCCAAAAGGAGAAAATTCCGGTACTATTAGTAACGTGTGTGCAAGACTAAAGTGTGATTTTCTTGATTTTATTTATTATCAACAAGGAAAGAATATTTTATTCTGAACGAAAAAAAAGTCCTTGATTAAAGAGTTACCGTGGAATATAAGAAAGGAATTCAAAAACTAATAACAGTGAAGAAACTAATTTCACGTGTTATTAAATAACTTCATCTATAAATTTCCGGTCATATAATTAAATTAAATAATTAGTAACAATTATTATAATCCCCTGTCATATATATACACACACTGAGTAAGAGAACACGAAACAGCAAAGTTTGATACTTAACGAGCTTAGTCTATTTGATCAGACAAAAAAAAGAGTAACAACAATGAGAGTGATTCCACCAGGAATTAAAAACATCTTAGACAAATGGAACATCAGAGGTCTTGTAATACTGTCTCTGGTGTTCCAAACGTCTCTTATCTTCCTCGCGCCGCTGCGAAAACGCACATCGAAGAAGCTGCTCACTGTGGCTCTATGGACTGCGTATCTTTTAGCGGACTGGACCGCTAATTATGCGGTGGCTCAGATCACCAAGAACCAAGGGAAGGAACCAGAACCTGGTGATCCTCCAAAGAACAAGAAGCTACTTGCTTTGTGGGCACCTTTCTTGTTGTTGCATCTTGGTGGTCCGGACACGATAACTGCGTTGGCCCTCGAGGACAATGCGTTGTGGGCACGTCATTTGTTTGGCCTCGTTTCTCAAGCCCTTGCAGGTAATAATTTTAATTTGGTGGATACCAATTGGATATTCTTAAAAAAAATTATTATACTATAGATGGAAAATTAATACTAAAAACGATAGTGAGCTTTTCCAGTACTATATTTGTTCATAAACTAATATATATATATATAGGTGAATTGCATGGAGATAGAACGTTAGTTAATTATCACGTAACACATAGTTGATGCAGTATATAGCAGCATAGGCTTTCATTGGTGAATTTTGTGCGGTTTGGTTGTTTATTATCCGAACTATCTGAACTACCTAACTGAACTAACCAAGATATAACAGAGAAACAAAAGTTCATATAATATTTCGATTATTCTGGTTATTTTTGAATATTTTTGTTATTTCAAATATTTCGATATTAAATATAAACTAAATTCTACGTATAATTATAATTTTGGGTAATTCAGTTTAAAATTTTAAATATAACTAATTATTATTGATATATAATTGTATTTCGGATATCCATTTAATTTTCGGTTCCAATTAGCTGTTTACACATCCAAAATGTGTTAAATAAAAAACCATGCAATCAGATATTTTATGGCTATTTCAGGTAATAAAAAACCTCCCATTTCGGTTCTGTTTCAGGTAATTGTACCTTGACAGTCAAGATACCTGCCGTTTCAATGGAAAAAAAAAAAGTTAAAGTATTACCTTAGTAAATCTCATAGTCAACATAAACCAAACCAAATTAAGTCTACAAACAAAACAATCAATCGCTTAGTTTGTCTTATAAGTATCTTGTTTAATTGGGATTTAGGTGTTTATGCGGTGGTGCAATCAATGGAAAACGAGTTATGGCCACCGATACTATTACTATTCATCACCGGAGTGATAAAATACACTGAGAGGACACGCGCATTATACGCAGCGTGTTTAGACAAATTCAAAGACCGAATGCTTAAACCACCAGACACTGGTCCTAACTACGCTAAGCTCATGGAAGAGTACGCTTCAAGAAAAGACTCAAACCTCCCAACCGATATCGTCCTCATCAAAGAACCGGACAAACACGAGAGACCACCTAAACTCGTTAGACCGGACCGAAAATACTTAACCAATCTCGAAATCGTTCAATACGGTTTCAAGTTCTTCAACACTTTCAAAGGTCTCGTCGTTGACCTAATTTTCAGTTTCCGTGAGCGAGACGAAAGCAGAGATTTCTTCAAAGAGTTGCAACCTGAGGAAGCTCTCCGGATTATTGAATCCGAGCTCGGTTTTCTCTACGAGTCCATGTACACGAAAACCGCGATTCTTCAAACCACACCGGGTACTCTGTCTCGAATTATCGCGTTTGGATCGCTTCTTTCTTCCTTCTTCGTCTTCCATCGTAGACCTCTTAAATCCGTTGAGTTTCATGGAGCAGACGTTGTGATCACTTACACTTTGTTCATCATCGGTATCGCTCTTGAACTCGCCTCCATTGTCATGTTCTTGCTCTCGGATTGGACCTTTGCCGTGTTGAGAAAGCTAAAGGATGATCCAGTGGAAAAGAAGAGTTATATCGACTCTTTCCTCGACCGTTTACTAGCGTTTAGGAAACCGCGTTGGACAGAGCACAAATGCGAAGGAAACCGCACACACGAGGTGCTCACGACGCCGTTTTTGCTGCGGAGATGGTCAGGTGCGATCTACGGATTCAATTTCATCGGATATTGTCTCAAAGCCAAAGTCTCAAGAATCCATCGGAAGAAGCAACGCAACGTTTTGAGCGAGTTTCTTTGTGATTCAGTGGTTTCGATGTTCGATTACGTGATGAGAAGTATCAAAATGCTTGCTGGATGGATCAAGAACGTTAACAGATCAACAAGAATTGTCATCAAGAAATGGTCAAAGAAGAATCTGATGATTCGTTGCACGGTTTATCCGTTATACATCGTCTTCTTCTCGGTGATCCCTTGGATTTTCGGGAAGCTTTGGGGTTACATTGATAGGATCTTCAGTGTTAAGTCTCATCTAGACCAGTTCAGATTCGTGTCTAGCGAGCCTTTGACGATGAATCAATGGGAGTTTATATTCAACGAGCTGAAACATAAGTCCGATTTCGCGGAAACGCCAGAGATCGCAAAGAAAGTGTCTTCAGCGAGAGGAGAATGGGCTTTAAGGGACACGAAGGTGGTTGAAGTTGAGAGGTTGATGCGTTACGTAGAGAATGTTGATTATGATCAAAGTCTTCTCCTTTGGCATATTGCTACTGAGCTCTGTTTTCAAGAAGAGGAGGAGAAGAAGAAGGTGATGAATCGGAGTGGAGAGAGTTGCGATGACCGAGAGTTTAGCAAGATTGTGTCCGATTACATGATGTATTTGCTGATAATGCAACCGAAACTGATGTCGGAAGTTGCAGGGATCGGAACTATAAGATTTAGAGACACTTTAGCTGAAGCTGAGAGGTTTTTCAAAGGAAGACATTCCAAGAACAGGAGAGATATGAGAGGAGCGAGCAAGACGGTTTTATCGGTTTGTAACGATATTGAGCCGATGAATGTGAAAGGTGATCGAAGCAAATCGGTTCTTTTCGACGCGAGTATGTTGGCCAAAGAGCTTCAGAGATTGGACGAGAGTGGTGGTAGTGATGATGGAGCTGATGGGAAATGGAGAGTGTTGAGCAAAGTGTGGGTTGAGTTGCTATCTTACGCAGCAAGTCATTGTGAAGCTACGGAGCATGTGGCGCAACTTAGCAGGGGTGGAGAGCTTCTTAACTTTGTTTGGTTGTTGATGGCTCACTTTGGTTTAGCTGATCAGTTTCAGATAAATAAAGGAGATGCTAGAGCTAAACTCGTTGTAGGTGAGTGAAAACAAAAATAAGTGTGTGTGTGTTTGTATTTGTAATCAATCTCTTTGGCTCTGTTTCAAATTTCAAGCATTGTTTGTTAGATTTTTTTTTGATTCAGACAGAAATTGTCGATTGGATCTTTTGGTTATGTTTTTTTTTTTTCAGGTTTTAAACAGTGTTCAAGAAAACTCTAAGAACGGAGTTTAGCGCCTAAAAGCTTAATCGGAACCTTAAACAATTTTTAAACTATCTAGGTGGTTTTAAGGTAAACTAATTCTATATAATATGTAAAAAAAAAAAAATATTTGTTACTTTGTTCAAGCACTTTTATAAAATACTACATGGGTTTGGAAAAACAAGAAACCAAAATCTATGGTAGAAAACCAAGATCTATAATGTACAAACTATGAAGGCTTGAACCTTGTCATACACGGAACATTTTCAACTTAGGGCTTCAAAGAGAAGTTGGGATTTTTGGAGATATCGGAAATTTTAAAAGATTTAAGAGGAAAATTTTCCAAATGATGGAATAAGTTTTGGTGTAATCATGAATTTATGGGAGATTAAGGGTCATGTGTTTTACATGGATAATAATGGATACTTTCCTTATTTTTTGTTTCCACAAAGAGTTTCTTCTCTTCCAAATCCTTTGCCCAATAAGGAAACAAAGAACAAATTGTCTTCAAAAGCTTTCTTTGTGTTTGTTTAAGACTGCAAACCAGATTCGATGCCTCGGTAAATATTATATAAAGAAAGATTTCTCGAGTTTTTTATTAAGAAACAGAGGATCGATTATAAGGTGTTCGATATAATGCCTAACTGAAAAAGACTCTATAAGGTACAATGTTTTGTAATTTTTTTTTTTTTTAAGTCCTTTTTTATTTGAAATAGTTAGAGATTTACAATCATTCACCTACAGATAATGGAGTTCCAATAATGAAAATTATTTATGATTCTAAGTTATGGTATTCTACAATTTTCATTAGTTTCGCTTGTGTTAATCTTTCATCATTTTCTGCATATGCTTGAATGCGACCTTTTCTTGGTTATTCAAATGAACTGCTAGGTTTGCAAAGAATCATACACATAAAATTTGCATTCTTTGTAGTGAAATTGCAGGCGTTTCCTCCCCTCTTGTCATTGCCATTGTGATCATGACGCAAGAATGTACAATCAAGAAGATTATCGACGTCTTATCTGAGTTACAGGCTCAGTTAAATGACATACCAAGATTACCTGAGTTACAGTCTCTATCCAAGAAATCTTCTGTTAACAACGATGAACAACCAAGCGAGGAGAAAAGACCATCTTGGTGTTTTCGAGTCATAGAAAAAGTGAAAAAGGTTGGTAAAGCGAAGAAGGATGCTTCAAGCCATGCAAGCAACAGGGGAAACATCGGCGACGAAGAAGCAGGTGCTCTCGAGATCTTGAAATTGCAGAGCGACATTCGTCAAATGAAAGCTGCGTTTGAGAATCTGAGACAGTTTGAAACCAATATGAGCACGTCTTTGGAGCGTGGTCTTCCTTCAAAGAAACTAAACGCAATACTGCAGAAAACGGATTCAATCAAGACCAGGTCTCAAGATCTCAAGGAAATCAGGAGAAAAGTATTTAACTTGAAGTGCATGATCCCATCATTGCTCTACAAAGACTCATCTAGAGGGTTAAGCATCACGGATTCTCAAACCGCTGAGGAAAACGGTCAGATCAACGAGACAGGGAGCGACATATACTTGCCTGGACTCCACGTTTCTGAAGATATCAAAGATTCGTTAGGTTTTAAAGAAGTTGTGGAAAATTTTCAAGGCCTTGAGTTTACTCAGCAGCTATGTTTGTTGTCCTTCTCAGTGTTTCCGGAGAACAAAGAGGTTAAAAGGACGATGTTGATGTATTGGTGGATCGGAGAAGGTTTCATCTGTTATGAAGATTCTGAAAACTCAGTGACGAGGATTCTTGATGAGTTTTCAAGAAGAGGGTTACTTGAGCCTGTTGAAGATGAGAGGAAACTGAATCCAAGTAGTTATAAGATGGAGCCTCATGTGCACTCTGCAGTTATTTACTTAGCCACAACACTTTTGGGTCTATTTGATCTCTATACTTCAAAAGGGAAGCTTACCATGAAGAAATCAGAGAAGCAAATGGTCTGCCTAGTAAAAGGATCCTCGTTGCTACGAGAGGCTAAAACATCTGTAATGGCACCGAAAACTTTGAACTCTGTTTTCAATTCCTCTGAACGTTACCCTGACTTCACATTCAAGTGGTTTCCGGGGATGGAATCACTAAGGGTGCTTTACTTAGGAAGATGGGAAAGGACTGCAAAGCGTCACATTGAAGTTGAGAGCACAGAGTTTCTTAAGCGTATGAAGGACTTGAAGAATCTCAGGCTTGCTAGTTTCCAAGGGATCTCGAGGGTTGAAAAGCTTGAGAATACCATTTGTGCGCTCCTAAGTTAGTGATCTTGGATCTTAGAGCATGCTACAATCTAGAGGTTCTTCCTGATGATATAGGCTCACTTGAGAATCTGATTTTCTTGGATGTATCTGAGTGCTATATGCTAGACCGCATGCCTAAGGGGATTGAAGATCTCTCAAAGCTACAAGTTCTCAAGGGCTTTGTGATTAGTGAGTCTGATGATGAAAAGAATTGTGCAGTTAAACACTTGGTGAATCTAAGGAAGCTGAGCATAACCGTAAACAAATACCTTTTCAAGGTGGAAAATTTGATGGAGTCATTGAAAGGCCTCGGGAGACTTGAGAGTCTGAAAATAGCATGGGGAGCTCGATTCTCGGATGAAGACAGAAGAGGAGAAAAGGTTGAAGACACTGATGAAGCAAAGGGGGGTGAAGAAACAACAAACGAGGAGATGGAGAAGGAGAAGCAACGAGGTCATGCAACAGAGGAGAAACAAAAAGATGTAAAGGAACGAGAAGATGATCAAGAGGATAAGAAGGGACAGACAAGCGAGGAGAAGAAAGAAGATGGAAGAAATGAGAAAGCTAATCTAGACGAAGGAAAGAAGCACGACGAAGTAAAAGCAGAGAGCTTAAAATCTGAGAAGACGGCAAGTGCTTCCCGAGAGGAAACAGGGACAATCCAGAACAAGCCAGATGATCAGAAAGGGAAAAGCAAAGTGGAAGGTGATGGAGATAAGGGAAAGGATAAACTAGAACAAGGAAAGAAGCAAGATGAGGTGGAAGCAGATAAATCTAAATCAGACAATGGTGTTGAAGAAGTTAAGAATGCGAGTCCCTCCGGAGAGTCAGCAGAGATGAACCAGAAGAAGCCAGATAATAAAAGCGAAGTGGAAAAGGAAGAAAATGGAGACAAAGGGAAGTCTGATCTAGAGGAAAGAAAGAAGAAAGATGAGGTAGACACAGAGAAGACGAAATCAGACAATGGTGTTAAAGGAGTCAAGAAGGTGAGTCCATCCCGAGAATCAGCAGAGATGAACCAGAAGAAGCCAGATGATAAAGGCACAGTGGAAAACGGAGACAAAGGGAAGGATGATCTAGGGGAAGGAAAGAAGCAAGATGAGGTAGGCGCAGAGAAATCAAAATCAGACAATGGTGTTGAAGGAATAAAGAAAGATGATCCGGAAGCAACAAAGACAAGCCAGAACCAGCCAGATGATCACCAAAAAGGTGACAAACAAGAAGAGAAAGGAGATGGGGAAAAGGAGAAGAATAATCTAGAAGAAGAAAAGAAGAAAGATGAGGTAATAGAAGAGAGCTCAAAACCAGACAAGTTTATCGAGGGAGATGAGAAAAAAAATCCACCGCAAGAATCCAAAGACACCATTAAGAGCAAGCCAGATGATCACCGTAGAGGTGACAAACAAGAAGAAAAAAGAGATGGGGAAAAGGAGAAAGATAATCTAGAAGAAGAAAAGAACAAAGATGAGCTCAAAGAAGAGAGCTCA